GATGTCACCCGCAAACCGTAGACTCGAAGTTCGTACATTGGAACTCAGGTGGATACAAAGATAGTCAGCGAGTTATCATCGTTATTCAATCAGCTTCGTAGTTTAATTACACTGGAAGGAGTGAACAACCCTGTCAGTTCCCCGAATTGAGTGGGAATTCATCCGAATCTTCGCCGCACACGAATCCGTGCACGGATATGTAAGTTTAGCTTTAGTTCCAGTTTGTTCAACCATTAACCATGCACTTTCGTGCGCCGGATATATAAGTATTGTGCCGTGAGCAATTTCAAAGGTGTACCTGATATTCCATCGTCTCATTATTGTTCACAGTACATCTCAACTGACACTATCGTAGTGCGTGCATCTCTTATGCACGCGAAGCGGTATCTCAGTAGCGTCACTCAGCCTGGTTCCACTGCGGTTGTTCCACACCAATTTACTTGGATTGTGGAACACTTTATTTCTTTTTCCTCCTTTTTATAACCTTTCTATACTTAAAATCGACAATTTGTTCTGCATGAATGTTGACCTATCTCCCCTTTTGTAGTATTATCTATGGTTATTATCATATTTATTATATCATTATATACTGTATATATCATATTATTATTATATTATATATTTTTTCACACACGCCTGAGTTTAGAATGTCCCAAATAAAGAAGGGTACAATGATCTCTATCAAAAGAAGAGGGAACATGATTCGCACGAGAAGTTGGTGATCTTAGGTTGCCCAAGACAGAGCAGGTGAATTATCTCACGGAGTTCACAACCTGAGCCATAGCCTGACCCGCAAGTCAGCGGAGTGGTGTTGAAAACCGCAGTTCATTGGAGGCTGGTGTCCAGTTCAGTGAATCACACGTCCTTCGGACGGAGTCAAACATCTAAGGTCGGGAAGAAGCGGCAAAATTATAGATATAGGCGCAGACACCAGCTTTAGAAAGAAAAGAATGATGGAGTAAGTAATTAGGAGACTGAAGATAAGTGGTGTCTGGTGAGGGATAGATTTTTTTTTCAGTTAAATGTAAAAGAAGGGGAAAGATTGGAGAAAGTGGTGTACAGAATTAACGTTTCGATTGAAACTACGAGTGTTAGTGAGGGCTATGGAGTCTTGTGAGTTGGCTGTGTGATTTCTGTGAGTTGTATTGTTCAGATGTGTTGGAGAAGATCGGCAACCCATCCCCGAAACTTGGAGTGGGAAACCACTTAAGGCCTCAGTAAGTTGAGCGGGGTAGTGAGCCGGGCGATACCTCGATACTCACTCTAACCAGTGATCACTGTCACAACCCGGAAGGTGTGGGTGGGTGTGGATTGTGCGCTTATTCTTGGTTGTTTTGGAACAAGGGCTTTAGCCAACTTCCGTAAGTGAACTACCAGTGGTTCACCTACCCGGTAATAGCCCCGGATATTGGCTTTTCGAACCCTCACCTTGGTGGGGAAACACCTTCGTCACGGGAAGACAATGAGTGGGGCTTCTTTAGCATAGGCTGTTGGAGACGCGTGATCCTATAGAAGCATTTTTCGAAGAGAACAGTGACCAATCGCAACCCGAGATCTACTCCTGATCACACTGAGGCTTTCGGATGCGATCATTTGCTTTAATTCATCTTATATTAAATATGTCATGTTATAAAAAAATTTAAACGCAATTGTCCGATCCACATGAACAGCGCACAGCTGATCAGATTGATTCAATAAGTATGATAATTTTTACTTTCCTGCGAGATTCTCCATTGTATGAATGAGTTGGCTTATTAGAGGAATCCTTAAACAATCTTGGGAATATAGTACTAAATGACATCCTCGATATGATTTTGTCTTTTTCTTCGAGATGCTGTACAAGAAAAGGAAACTGTCAAATGGCAGCCCTTTGATTGGCCACTTCCCCCTTCCTGGAAATTGTTTCTTGAATTGTATATTGAATAAAAGAAGTAAAATGAAAAAGAAAGAAAAAGAAATCTTTTTTGAAATTTGGTCGGTATTTAATGTATTTTGCACTTCAATCGGATACTTAGTACCCTTCGATATGTATGTTAATTTTGTCAATTAATCCCAAAGAGTCACCATGTCGAATTTAGACATACGTAAATCGAGAATGAATTTGATTGGCGAACGCAAAGATTACGGTTCATTCGAGGCACAACAGTGTTTATCACCGCTGCAGTCTGCAATCACCACTCATTTGCGTGGGACGAAATTTAGCAGTTAAAATTCATACGTCCAAATTTACCTCGAGAGAAATGTGCTTGCTCCGCGTTTCTTGAATACACTAAACACCATTGATAATGTCGTCTTTCAAAGCAACCACAAACAGCTCGAACGCACTGTCGTTTTTTATGCGGCTTGGTTCGGCATCACTCTACATGTAGTGTTTTCGATTTTCCTGTCCCCTTTTTGTTTTCACAGGAAATGCACGAAAAGCTGATGGAAGAGCAGAAGCAACACCAGCAGCAACAACAACTGCAGAATGCACCTGGTTTTCCTCCGATGCAGCCTGTTCCAAATCTGACGGGAAATGTTTATAACGCAATCGCCCCATCTGGTTCACAGTACTCCCTGATCGGTCAACCGGGACCGGATCCGGAAGTCGATTTGCATACCAGACGTCAGTCACAAATTGGCCAACCGTCACAAGGACTAGCCCGTTTGATTAGTCAAACCACGCGTCCCTCAATGACTGGTGAGCGAATTAAGGAGCGGTCGAAAATTCAAAACAAACTTTCAATGTTAAATCGTAAAGCCAATGTGTTTTGGCCACGACGAACAAATCATTTTCGACAGTTGTCATGACCACCATACTAGATTTCTTCAACAAGATCTATGACATAAAATTGTTGCAACTGCAAGTGAATCCTTTATAAAATTAATCCAGCAAGCGCATAGCATGTCCCTTGCAAAAAGTGTTGTATCCCTTCCTATTTTTCGAATTATTTCCTCAACTGCATTCATGCGCCATCAGTGTTATTTTTGATAATCTGTACAGCAACTGAGTAAATGGTAGGAACGTGAAATTTCACCAACTTATCGGAAAGTTTACCGCGAAATTCACCAACGTCACTGCGGCAAAAGTATTGTAAAGATGTCCAAGCAAGTAAGCAAAAGCAAATAAAAACTGAGATTCGCTGAAATAGGTTTACTGAGAGGTTCAGATTCTGTGGCTTAATGTGTGAAGCAAAAAGAACTGAAAGCTAATGAAAAACGTGTTGGACACAGAAAACCGCTTTCGGATAAAATCGTGTGCTTGTTGATACTTGTAGTCTCAGAGTCTCTACTTCGGTTGTAAGAACGCCACTCAAGATAAACATTTTGATCTTCAGTGCTTTTGTGATGTGTAGTATATGAATGACTAGACAAAATTAAATTTGTCATATTAATATAATATATATATATATGTATATATACATTTTAGTTGGACAAAATCTCAAACTCATCGACGTTTTTAGTTCAAAACAAACAGCGGAACTCGAAGAAAAAGCCGTCTTAATAGAGTTTCGCTGGATACGTCCCGGATAGTTTAGACTTTTCTTCTTTTCTATGTTTTGCCTACATTTACGTCCAGTCTGTCTCAAATCATCTGCATACTAAAGTTAGTTTACATCGCATTCGTTCAATGTCGTTTAAAACTCACCAAATCACCGACCAATAGTTTTATAAACAATAATCCTTTTAGTTCTATTGAAAATACAAATGTGCAAATAGCTTTCAGGATGGGCGCGTCTGCACCCATTCACACACATGTGGCCATATCCAAAGTGTACAGGGCTGTGTGTCCTTAGTGGCATATGACATGCACGACCCTCGGGTGGAGGTTATAGTGATCTTAATCGCTTGAATCCGCCGTCCGAGGGATAAGCAGTCTAACTCTTACCACTCCGAAACTTTCATTCTGTAACTCATTCACAAAGCACCTATGTTTTTTATGAAAAAAATTAGTTCCTTTCGAATGAAAATCCCGTACCCCATAAAGAAAAACAATAAACCAACACAAAAGATGCCAAAAGGTGTACGGAGAAAGAAACAAAAGTCAGTCTTGTTAGCCACGATAACTGTTCGGCTCCCATCTCACAGTTTTGTATCCCAACCCTTTCATTCTTTGTTATTCTTGTTGCGTTTCACCATGATTTTTCGCAAGTATATATTTCCAACGGATTGGCATCGGATGACATGTGACGGCTTTTCGCTATATTGGAATTCCAACAAAACGCGATTAGTGGACTCATTTGAAGTTGTAATGCAATATAATCATGCTGGTTTAAGTGGATTAATGGTAAAGCATGCCAAACAATACGCATGATCCACTCAGATGCACTGCAATCGAAAGTCCACTGTGATTCGCGTGAGAATACATTGACATGTGTTTTCAGTGTGAACAGTCAATAATGAGAAAGGCTTGCACGCAGGAGTCCTTCGTTCGGCAGCCACTCACTAAGTCGCGTTTTTAAGTGTGAAGTAGTTGGGATTCCAAATCACAGAATCAAGCAAACCAAAAGTTAATAAATCATCATCATGTTCATCGTATAGCGAGATACATCGAAGCGAGCTTCACTGATCGCTGTCAAGTTAATAAATATATGGTGTTTCTATGTTCGGGCCACGAGCTGGTGGTGTTTTGACATAGATTTCTCCAGTTTCCTAAAACTCGATCAACCACGTCATTTTTGTTAAGCAAATGTTTTCCAACATCTGTTCATCTCTTACAGATCTCAATATCCCAGACAATCCACCCGATGGGGGCTGGGGTTGGATTGTTGTCCTGGGATCATTCTGTTGCATGATCCTGGTCGATGGTATTTGCCTCTCCTACGGTTTATTGCTCACTCCGCAATGTGGTTACTCCGGGGTACGACCGCTCAACATTATTCGTCCGACTAATCGAACTGTCGCTATGTCCTCCCAATCCAGTTTTGTCATGCGTGCGGACCGGTCACTAAAACCGGTAGTCGGCAGTTGTATCCCGGTGTCTGAGATGGGAGAAGCTTTAGGAACACAGGATCGAGCACTGCTGCTCACACCCGGTGCTTTACTGATTGGACTTTATCTACTCTTAGGTATGTTCTCAACATTTGATTTTTCCACTCTGTTCATTATTTGATTCACTGATTCATCATCACTTCGCACGTAATTGTCCAGTAGTCTGAGCTAAAACCATTTCTCGAGTATATCAGTATCCAAGCCTCTTCATAATGATGAAAACAATTCAATATTTGTTTGTGTGCGTTGTACTGCCAAGCTGTCAACACGATAACTTGCCTTTCATGAGTCTTTATAAAAAGCCTCTATTATTTCTTAATTGGCATAATTTATCCTCCAGGGTGATAAGATTCCGGGGATACTTTAAACTAACTTTAATGTTTGATAGTTTGATTATGATATGGACACTTTCTTTCCATAGGTTCGCCTGTGGTACGTATCTTCATGGCTGAGGAGCTCTAGTAGCCGATTAATGCAATACAAAATAATTCTCACTCTACCAACACTCACTGCACTTAGGAACTCAGTACTTTGTGTTCAAAGGCAAATTTTCAACGGTTGGATTTACGTAACGTACACACCCCGGCCCCCGTGTCAACAGTGCACGAATTTTTCCACTGAAAACCAATAAAACGGTATATTGGATGCGAGGGGCATGCAAAGCCTGGTTGGCGATTCGCTGGCGTGCAGCGACAAAGTGGTAAACAACAACTTCAAAGAAGGTCCATTGATTAGTTCGGAACCACTGGGCTATTCGCACTAACGAGCAGGCACACAAACACGCACAAATGAAGCTGCGATTCTATACACACGATGCCATCGGCGCAATACAAGTATGACAGTCGATTGGCACAACCGGTTCTGGAATAACTAACCGATGAGACACGCTTACATTGCGGCGCAGATTTAGTACGTAGCAACGAAAAACTTGGTAAACTTATGCTTCTCATTGTAGGTAGCTTGAAGCGTCCGTGTCGTTCTTGACATAAGTGTTTGTTACTGGACGCGTATGTAATCTGAAAAGATTACACCCAGTTCAATGAACCTTTGTCGCCATTAGGTTTGTTAGCAATCAAACGTTGATGGATAGAGCGAAACGATGCGACAGGATCTTAGCGGAAAGAAACCGAACTACATGCAAAGTAATTGATTAGTAAAGGAGTGCGCCAATTCCATAACGGTATTATGAAAACCACCAAGACGCTCTAATTTTCCCCTGGAGATATTTGAATTGAGAGTCAGTGAGAAACAAATACAAAAGGATCTACAGAAAATGTGGGCATTGAAGGAAGCATCTGGTTGGATGGAGAGTGGCACTGCGTCAAACAGATTTGGCACAACTCGGTGTAACCGTGTTTTACATCAACATCGTCCGTTCATTACCTGGGAAGTTGCCAGATATATCTGATATTGGAATGTTCTGAGTTGGGCGCAATTCTATTACAAGGGGCCTGGTTACAAGGTGATATTGATGAGGAGATTACTAAAATCGATGGCCTCACGGGATATCGAGTTGACCGTCCCGCAAAGTATTAGAAGCGTGGAGGAGGCCTGATGACGTTTTTCAATAACAATTGGTAGGAAAATGTGAAGCAGGCTTTCAATCATTTCACTGGTCACATTTGTTCTTCCGTACTTAAGTCCAAGCCTAGACACCTGAGCAACTGTTGGTCGATTGACTTAGCCAGTGTTTATATTCCCCCTTTTTGGCCCTCACAGGAACTTTGTTTTTAGATACTTTTTCCATTGTTTAATGAGTTATCTTGATTTCTCCTTATGTATCATTTGTGGTGACTTCAGTCGTGTCGACATCAGCTTCTTGATTAGTCTTGGTTTGAAAAACATTGTGAGCTTACCCACCAAGCTGAATACTCATTTGGACATGTGTTTTGTCAACAATGCGAACCTTTTTTCCGTATCTGCCCGCTGCCCTCTCGGGTTTTCCGACCATGCTCTTGTTACAGTTTCTCTAATAGTATACAGCTAATTCGACCACGAAAAGCCGCGAAAGAAGGAAACGTCAATATAACCCAGAGAACCGAGAGAAACTCAGCCTAATGTTTTCCCAGACAAACTTCAATGTGTTATACCACCCTAATAATTCAATCTATTCGCCTACACAACCGATCTTCTGTGGTGCCTTATCTTGCCCGATTTGTTGTTAACCCACAACGCATCGCTTCTGAACTAAACTCATATCGTAAGTTGTTCTGTTTCGTCCTTGATTTCAACAATTATGGTGTGATTCTGCATGATTCTGTTTTGACTATGGAGCTGCTGAATATTACCCTTTCTGAGTGCATGAAGCATATACTTGGCTTCACTTGAAATCTCCTAATCAAAGGTGATGTACTGTTAGGGGGAGGGAACTGATCAGGTGTACATATATATCGAGGAATCACTCACAATTAGTTCTGTTTGCTAATGCTTCAGGATTTAAGAATCCACTGGAAAAGATAATTAATCCACCACCTTCGAACGAACATTTAGTAAAAGTGATCAAAAGCCTGGAGAGTCCACTTCATTGCCTAGGAATATGAATACATTGATAACAACAAAGGCGTGGCGAACAAGCTCGTTTTCCGTTCTTCCCA